ACCCCATGCCTTGCAGCCAAGGACACACCTCTGCGCCTCTGTGCAGCTCCAGGGTGGCGGTGCCTGGCCTGCTCTCGCAGCTTTCTGCCTGCCCACAGAGCCTCACCATGTTCAGCTTCTCCCACCTGTTCCAGCTGCGTGCCTGGGGCCATCTGGAGCCATCTCTTGGCACGGGATTGGGCCTTTCTTAGCAGCAGTTCCTGATATGAAACCCAGCAGCTGCCCTCTGTCCCTCGGCTCATTTTGCATGGCCAGCTTGGCTGCAGAAGGGGAGGAGCCCTGGGGAGCACAGATGCAGGAAGTTGCACCTTGGATTTCACATTTTCCTTTGGGCTGACATTCCCAGTGCATATTGCTTCATTTTCTGATTTTGCTTTAATTTTTGTTGTTTAGCAAAGAAGAGCTTTTTTGTAGGTGCCCTCACAGCAAACAGCGCTGGTGGGCACCCTGCAGAGCTTGTGATGGGAGGGCAGTGGGTGGTGGTAGGGGGTGCTGGGGAGCTTGAATGAAGAGTGGCAGAATCACCAAATCATTCAGGTTGGAAGAGACCCTGCGACCACTGAGTCCAACCTTTGACTGATCAGCACTAACAGCTAGATCATAGCACTGAATGTCACATCCAGTTATTTGCTGTACACCTCCAGAGAGTGACGCCACCACCTCCCTGGGCAGTTCATTCCAAGGTTTAACAACCGTGAAGAAATTCTGCCTGATGGACAGCCTGAACCTCCCCTCTGACAGTCTGAGGCTTTTTCTCTTATCGCTTTCTGCCTGGGAGAAGAGACCCAGCTGCACCATCCTTTCAGGAGAGTGTGGAGAGCAGTACAGTCTCTTCTTGAGCTTCCTTTACTCCAGGCTAAGCAAACCCAGCTCTCTCAGCTGCTCCTCACAGGACTTGTGCTCCAGACCCTACCTCAGTTACGCTGCCCTTCTCTGGATACTCTCCAGCCCTTCAATGTCCTTCTTAGAGTAACAGGCCCAGAGCTGGGGACAATCACTGCCCTGGTCCTGCTTGCCACACTATTGCTGGTACAGGCCAGGATGGCATTGATCTTCTTGGCCACCCGAGCACACTGCTGGATCATGTTTAATACCACCAGGTCCTTTTCCACTGGACAGCTTTCCAGCCTCTCCTCACCAAGACTGTAGCACTGCATGGAGCTGTGGCTGAAGCGCAGCACCCAGCACTTTGCTGTGTTGAACGTCATGCAATTGGCTTTAGCCTGTCCAGATCCTTTTGCAGAGCCTTCTGACCCACCAGGAGATTGACTACTCCTACCCGACATGTTGTCATCTGGGAACTGACTCGGGGGCACTTTATCCTCTGATCCAGTGAATTAATAAAAATGTTAACCAGAACTGATCCCTGGGGCCCCAACACTGATCCCTGGGGAGCTCCACTAGTGACAGGCCACCAACTAGATATGCTACACCAAGGTGTGTGATCCTGTGCTATTAATACCTGCCCTTAGCCTTTACAATAGTTTTAAGTTTTACCTGTTAGCCTTCTAAAATGTTGCAACATGGTACAACAGCACATTAATTGGACAGCCAAGTAAATATTAATTGGCTAACCAAGTAAATATTCTGAAGTAAAATGAATAGCCTAATTAAAATGGTTGCATAATCCTGAAAGAGGGTTTGAATTCTCTTCCTGCAAATACCATTTCAGGATGAAAGTTGTGAGTTTACTATCTATCCTCAATATTATACTGAAATAAGGTGCTCAAATATTTTGCCTTATTAGTTTTAATAGCTGAAAATATATCTGGTTCTTTGTCTAATGAGAAGCAATAATCTGTTTGTCTCACAGGTGAACTCTAATTGTAGATGGTTCATAAGTTTGGTAACTAGGAAACAGTCAATTGGCATTTTAATCTGAAGATTATTAATTTAAATTTAGACATCTCAAAGGCTATTGGTCACCTGTGTTTGCGACTTACAGAGTCATATTTATACTGTCAGCAAAGCCAGCTTGGTGCAGGAGCAGCACTCTATGATGGCAGGCTCTCCTAGAGGAAGCTCCCCACTTACATACCCTGCTAAGATCTGACAGACCCTAGAGGTGCAACCCCTTGTCTTCCAGATGAGACACGACATCTGTCACCAGGTGGAGATAGAGCAAAGATTTCCCTTCATCAAAGTTACAAAATCTGGGGAAAAAGAAGCATGATAGTGTAATTCCTTTGAGTTCTTCTCAGTTGCCAAGTAATTAGTGTTAAATGCCTTTGCCTTCTTCTCTCTCTCAAAAGCCTAGGCAGACATACCTTCCTACAAATCTTTTCCCCAAACAAACTTCAGATGAAAAAATCCACAAGCACTAACCTTGACTCACCTGGAGCAGTAAAATCAGTTTTACCTAGGTGTCAAAATAAATTTATAATACCATTTAGGGTCTCCTAAATCAAATGGTGGAGCTCTCCCTCTTCCAGAGCATCCAAAGTCTCTCGTTTCTGCCATAAATCACTTTTCAAATATTTCAATTGTCCTTCCTCACTCAACAGATGGGGAATTCCACCTCATTCACATGTGAATTCTGAGCGAATTGAAGTCTGAAGTGAAGTCTGGCCCCTCTTCAACTGAGGCAGAGCCCTTCCTTGCCTAAGAAGAAGTTTCCAACCTCCAGATTCCAATCTCCCTGTTTCCCAGCTTCCCTGGTTTATGGCCTTGCTCCCCAGCAGGTTTCATTAGGCTGTGGTATGTTAGGCAGCTAGAAGCCTGTGAAGCTGGGCCCGCTGCAAAGATTTGAACTCAAGGGATGGACAGACCAGAGAGAAAAGCCACACTTTTTGTGCTCCATTGTGCAAAAGTTTGCATCCACTGTGCACACTTGACACTCTAATTCATCTAGGAGGTTCACAGATCAAGTAACTTTTAACTGGCAGCTTGAGTTAAGCTTGGAGAAGAGCCTGTGAGAATGCTTGGATTAGCAAAACAGGCTAAAACACAAGCTGCCTTGTGTTCTGTGCATCATTAACCCTAAATACAATGTTCTCCATTACAGCCTTACCTTGCACCAATGGCAAGGTGCTGCTTTTCAGCTGCTGTGGCAGCTTGAACACTAGTGACCCACCAAATTACAGCTGTTAACATGAGAGTGGAAATGTTCATAAGGAGAGCTGTGGAAGGGTGGTAAGTGGCCCAGATGACACTACAGACAACCAAGTATCTGAGCCAGAGATTTCTTTCATAGTGTCTATAGGAGCAAAATGATTTCTGCAGTATCAAATATGCCGGCATATACATTAAACTTTTTTTCTTTTTTCCAAAGCAGAGTACTGCTTCATTTTTGTGCTTAATTAGCTGAAATTAACCAGTTAAACTGGGCATGTGTTTTTCCAAGCCACTCAAGCTAGGTAGTGCTGTTGCCTGGCACACACCCTGTTCGAGCAATAAGATTCAACATGTTTGCAACAAAAAAGACAAGAATGATTAAATGCAGTTGGAAAGTAGTAATTGTTCTCATTGCTTGAAGCAGACATTAAAAATAATTACAATTTGGCAATGGTACATTCAGATATAAACAGTCAGTGTCTCAAATGCTCCTTGGGAGTAAAAGTTAACAAAAATGAAACACCTGTTCATATATCAGTGCTGCTGCAGTTTAGCAGCATGTAGCATTCCTGAAGCTGTTAAATACATGCATTATGCCAACAAAAATTTGGCTACATGTTTACTTAAGGCCTGAATAAATATGGCCAATCTCTGGCAAAAATCAGATCAAGTTCTTACCTGGGGTTAATCAGACTGACAGCAAAATGATAAGAAAACTAAACATGAAAAGTAGTATTATGTAAATAACTATTGTTTTTGCAACACAGAATGTTTAAAGGAAAAAAACCCATGTTCTGACGGACTGAATGTATTGATTTATTTACATGGTTTCCAGCTGTGTGAATGGAGCAGCTCCCATGGATCGCTGGACATAAAAGATGAAGTGAGTGAGTTGAGCTAAAGCAAGGCCTAAGTGAGCACTATTCTCATGGGCTGTATCCACAAGAGACAAATCTGCAACCTGACTCAGGCTGGCTAATCCTGAGGGTGTGACGGAGAGTATTTTGAGTAGTAAAAACATGTGTTGAAGTTTTGCAGTTCAAGTCCTTTAACTCTGCTTTTCTCTTTTGTGGTTAAACTTCCAGAAAACATAAAATTGAAAATTATATTTGTTTTTACTCTGGCCATGGAAAGTAAAGCCTGAATTATAAATTATCTCAAGACAGGTTTGGGCTTTTTCCTTATGAGACGTTTAGAAGTCTCATGTAAAAAGATCATCTAAGGGTTAAGGGATAAAGTGAAGGACTGATGGCTCTGTGGCACTTGGAAGGACGCTGGGCAGAGTATCTGCACAGGAAAAAACACCCTGCGGTTTGTGATGCCAATGACTTCAGACAGATGTTGTTACTCTGTTCCCTGCTGCCCACTGCAGCTTCTCCTCCCTGCCTAGTGGGGCTTGTGTGGGGCACAGGGACCTGCACTCTGGCTGGCAAGCAGTAGCATGCTTCCCAGAGGGAATTTTGTCAAGAGTCTCCCTTCTTAGGGACGGCTGTAGTTTTCAGAACTCAGAACACATTTACTTTTTCTTCCACAAAGTGGAAATACCAGACTGATTCTGTTATCCAATTTAGGGTGCAAATTCCCACAGAGATGGGAAAAAGACAAAGAATTTCCTCCCATGTCTAAGAAGAAATAACCTTTATATTATATAAAGTGCTTTAGTCAACAAATCGTTTCATTCAGACTGAGAAGGACATGCATAACCCAGTCCTAAACCTATCCCCCAACATGCAAAGGTAACAGAATCAACAGACAAGGGCCAGCACGCCACTCTTTAGACAGGGCAGCAAGTGGCTCCTGCTGCAAATGGGCAAATCTGAATATCCCACACATCCCAAATACTGAAAGATCTGATTCATGCTCCAAATCAGAATGATTGCATGGTTGCATCTGCAGAGATAACCAGCAGGAAATAAAGAAGCATTCCATGAACAAGCAAATCCATATCCAGTAAGTTATAATATTTTTTTATTCATGTTAGAATTTCTATCAGTGTTTGAACATTAATATTTAGAGAGTTTTTACAATTTCCATTCAAAGCTTAAAATGAGAACCACGCTAGATCACAAATAGTAACTAAAACACAGTTCAGAATTGTATGAATAGCCACACTCTCTTTCTCTCTTAACACTGTTAAACACTTTCTTTTCTCCAGGGGGTTTACAAGGAAAAGTGTGCACTGTAATTGTATCTCAGCAGTGTTCCAAAACATAATGGTATCATCATTACATATAAACTCTTTAAAAATATACTTCTGTCAAAAGACTTGATGACTACTATGTACACTACAAAAATAAATTTTCATATAAATAAATTATATGGCATAATTTTATCTTTGTAACTGAAAAGACACAAACCCACTCCTACCAAACAGGCAGGCAATGAGACCCAGTTTGAATATTTTTTTCCTTTTAACTCCTTACACTAAAAGCTACAAGTCCATAATGTAAATGTTATATACTCTTTCCTATTTAACATTAGTAAGCACTCTATACAAATAAAAATCCATTAAACAGTAAAAACATAACTGTAATAGTGTTTCCAATAGAAATAAAATCCCTGCATTTTGTTTGTTATAAACTGGCATGACAAATACTGTAAGAAAAACATTCTTATGATACAAAAATATAAATATCACCCATGATTAAAAAAGTTAAGAAACAAAACCAAAACAAAACAAAGGTTGCCAGCCACTGAGTTCTCCCCTTGCCAATGTGACTATCGAAGAAGAAGGTCTACATTGTGCACAAAGCAGCAGACAGCTCACACACACACAAGCACGCAGGCAGGCTCGGGGCAGGGGCAGGTGGGAGACACTGCAACTTGCCCTGCGCCCCTTGCCTGCCGAGGAAGAGCAGGAAGCAAGGCAGCCTGCGGCACGGAGCGGTGCCAGTGGGAGCCCTGCCAGTCTCTGACACGCAAGCGCACAAGCTTGGTGGTTGAAGGCGGCTTCCAATTGGTATCATACAGTTTTGTTGCAGATCTGTATGATCTGAGGTCACTATGCTGCTCGTGCTAAATTGGGGCCCCTCACCTTTTTGTCATCAAGAGTTTTCATGTTAGACAGTGAACTGGACCAGTAGGCAGCTGCGACATTAACCCTTGGTGTGCACTGAGACAGTAGCTTATGTATCACGGGAATGACACCAGGCTCTCGCCACCTGCTCTTCGAGCGTTCACATTGGAGATCTGTAAACAAGTGCCTCATATCAAAGTGTTTTCAAGTGAGCAAAAAAGGCATGGAATTTTGTGCATTCTCATTATCCCCATTCGTTTTGCTGGCAAGGTCTGTAGGCAAAGATAGACTCCCTGAAGCCACTGGAGAAAAACACTTTCCCATCAAAGAATTGGCCACTGTTATTCAGGTATACATAAAGAAAAGCCCCACCACTGCTGTGTTTAGAAACTGAATATTGGCTGTGTTTGGCTCTGAATACAAAACTGAACATCTACCTGAACATCTACTTGCTCTAAAAAACAGCTTGGTGAAGGGCAGAAAAAGATAAAAAAGAAGATGGAGATAACGAAAACTTGTGTTGCATTATTTTAAATTAAGGTTCTTTGTTCCTACATTTTGTTTCCAGTGGGAACACAGTTGCAGTGTTTTTCCAGACCCTTCACCTGCAGCAATCCCCTTTTAGTTTAAAAATAATAGTACAAAAAGCTAAATTAGTTTCGCAAAGAGATCCCAGTTTAGCTGTTATAATTAAAAGTGCCAATGCAGCATGGGAAAACACAAACAATAAAGAAAATAACTACCCAGGCCTTAAGTGTCATTACCATCCTGGCCCACCAGAAAGCCATTTATATTTAAAAGTGAATGTACTTTTTTTTTAATCCTTCCATTTGATTTTTATTACTTACTATTAACTCCTTCCTGCCACGAAAATAAGGTGACCAGAGATACTGCTTTCAATGCTGTAATGACTCAGCTAAGCTGTGGCTCACCATCAAACAATCCATTATCCAGCTTCTGATCCCATTCAAAATTAACAGTATCAAAATAAGGCAGATCAGATGCTCATTGTATTTCTATAACCACCAGCACCTGTCAATATCCAGCACCTTTAGAAGTGAAAAAATAATGGTCATAGTGCTTGCACTTACCTGGCATATTTTGCGAGGGAAAAAAAAAACCTCGAAGCACTACATGAACTGTAATTAAGCCTCACAACATTCCTGGGAGGTAGGTAAGTGTAATTATAACCATTTTACAGAATGAAAAATTGAGGCATGGGGCAGTTAAGTAACTTGACTAAAGTAATGTGAAACAAGACTTTAAGGGTTTGGGAACTGAAATATAATTCTAAACCTCAACTCCCTGTCTTCTCTAGTATTTTAGTTGGGCCTTTGATGATGGCAGTCTATAGTTGTATATATTGGTAAACAACAACAGAGTTTTCACTAGTGCCTACTAACAGGGAAAGCCAGACTCACATCAGCATGAGTGGGTTTGTAAGCCCACCAAGTGTTAACATACAGTAAAAAAGAAACTAGAGTACACCAGGAACATACACACAAAAGCAGGCATGTTTCCAGACGCACGCTTGGACACATACAGCAAAACAAAACCTGCACATAGCAAAGTCTATTTAAGCCTCCCAGATTAACTCGCTTTTCTTCATATTTGCTTATTTTAAAAATTACCACGCATAGCGTGTTTGAAAGTTAACAGTAACATTTCATACTACCACAGGGTTGTGATACACAAATTTAAAATATTTTAAACAGACATGTACCTTTTAAAAAATCCTATTACATAAGCAATATTTGCATAGAATTATACAAGTAAATTATAAAATATTTAAGCAGCAGCAACTTATGCTGAAATTTAGAACTAGATTAAGCTTAGTTGTGGCACAGATATCAATGTACAAAAAGTACAAAGAGCACACAATTTTGTCCCCATTCTATTGCCCAAAGGCAAATTACTCCAGACTATACTACTTTACATCATTCTTTTGTATATTACATATGTGTACATCTTTTAAATACTTAAAAGAAATATTTAACAAAATAATACAATAGGTTACAGTAACAGTGAACTGTTGTCCTGATGCAGCATGTCCTTTTCTACAACTTCAAGCAGTTCTTCTCTTCAAGCAGTTCTGGAATACAGTTTTCCATCTTTGGCCTCTTCTTTGCTTCAGTTATTACCCTGTACAAATAAGGAGAGAGAAAAAAGAAAACAGTCACTGAATTTCAAGAAAAACAAATCAAATGAAACCAACTCATTTCATGATTCTTGTGGTTAGATTTAGTTGTCAGGAAATGCTGGCTCTACTTTCATCTCAGTTGTTAATTTCCTGGTGAAGAAATACTGATGCCAATTAAAAAAATGTTGATGCTTTAATATCTAAGTTTCCAGTTTTATATAGCTGTGACAAATTCAGTCAAAACCAATGAACAGTTGAAGAAGTATGCTACATTGAATACTGAGTTTACTTAAGAGTCTCACATTAACGTACACTTCAGCTTGAAAAAACTAAGCCCAAGTATTTCCTTATTATTAATAGTATCTGTGGATACTATTATTTGTCATATTTCTAGACTGCAAGGCTAAATGCATTCACTCCTATTTACACTTTGGGATGTTTGGAGAGACATTTTATGATTTAGAAAGTGGTTTCATTTTGAATTATCATAGAAATTTCTGTCAAAACTCTGTGTGTGCACACACATGCATGCATGCATAAATGCAAAATATTCTAGAATCAAAATAAAATTACTTGCTCTGCTCAGACTGTTGTCTGTCACTGAAAAGCTCAGACAAGCAAAGAGAAAAAACAGTAATCCACAGATAAGTAACTATTCTATTCCCTGCAAGAAAACATAGTAAAAACAGTGAGAAATAGTTTTCATGTAAGAGCCCCAAGAAGTTTTCAGTGTAAAAACTCAATGGGCAGCCCTATCCTGTACAAACCTGCAATTGCCACTGCAGATGCCCCTGGCATGGCAGAGGTCAGCTCAGACACCTCACTGGGGGAGGTCTCTGAAGGCCCCTCCAAAGAGCAGGGGACACTCTGCTGAGCAGAACTGCACTAGGCATGTAGGACTTCCCACCTCTCACCTGGCTCATCTTCCAGAGGCATTCAGTCCTTATTATGGACTTCAAATTCTTTCACAAATTATTTTATTCAAGAGATGACAACTCCTCAAGTAGCTGACAATTTTTACACTCTCCTAGACAATGTCATTTTATATAATGTTTTAGAGCATGCCTGATTAAGGGATCAGAAGACAGGACTTACACAATGGCATATGCAGTTGCACAGCTCTGAAGATGTTATACAACATCTCTGCTTTATTTTCCTCATCAGGTAAACTGGGATTGTATGATTTTGCAAGGCTCTTCAAAGTATGACTTCCCAGCGTTGGAGTGCTCTATCTTAGTCAACCTCATGTCCAGTGCAAAATGTACTATTTTCACAGTTAGCAGATTTAAGGTGATCAGTGTGACCTGTAAGTAGCGCTATCTATGAAAAGTTACCTCTGAGAAATTTAATTTTCCTCTTTCTTTTGATCACACCATTGCCTGACACAGGCCAAAGCTTGCAGTTACGCAGGATGGACCTACCTTATTGTGAGCTGTTGCCAGGTATCCTCTCCTCACATTCAACATCTTGCAGTTCTATAACTTCCACTTTAGAATTCCTTCTTTCACATCGCACATTAAAAGGCACGTGGGGGTCCTCAAATGGCGCGCGGCCAGCCTCGTGGTGTCCCTCGTAGGACGGAAAGCTTGCTCCCCGAGGGCTGTGGCTGTGCAGGGCAGGGTGGACAGCAACAGTGACTGAGGCTGAGGCAGTCACAGTGGTGATGGGCTGGCAGTAGGCTGCTCCCGCGG